GATTAAGCGCGAAACTTTTAAATTTTATTAAAAAATATATATTTGGCAAGGGAAAAAAGAGAAAATAAAATAACTTATCTGAATATTAATAGCTTTTTTCTATTGTTTTTCCAGATATTAATTTGTTTCTATTTTACAAATGCAAAAAATACTTGAATATTGTCTCAATTTTCCTCTTCTATGTGAGAGAAATACAAATGTCATACAAAATATTAAATAAAAACTGAAAATTTTAATATTTTATCCGTATATATACATATATGTATATCTTATTCTATCTTTCGTTTCTTCCTATTTTTTAATAGTTGAACAATGAAGTCGAAGGACATAAAAATATTTGATACTCAAATTAGCATATCATATCTTTATGGCATTCTCAACTGCGTTTCCTGAAAATTTTGATTATATACAGATTGCACGATAAAAAATGTAAAAAAAATGATATCTTCATCGGATTTAAAAACAATTTCCTTTTTCGTGAAAATTACTTCAGCATTGTTTCTCACTTTTTACCGAGCATACCGAAGCTATGAAATATTTCTCAACTATTCTCATCTACATATACATATATACGCGTGAGTTCAAGTTTCTTGTAATTTTAACAATTGTGTAATTTGTAAACATCGTAATTACTTCTAATGCATAGTGGCCAAAATGTGTCAGCAGGCTAAACCTATCAATCATACATCAATAGTAATAAGTTTTATATAATGTAGTTTGAACGTTTATATTCGTATATAATCAATAGATCGACGGACGATCATGTATATTTCAGAATTAAATATTTGTATTAATCCGTCTCAGTTCGTCCATTTCAAAGGCGATGAATCTATGAGAGAGAAGCTATTTTTACGTAATAGAATATGTTATATTCGCAGATCTATTACTTTGAATTAGAATAAGGGATACTTTAATATTCACCGACATGCACAACAGCGGAGTTGTAACCGCGTTGTGATAACACATTTTGTGTAAAATACAAATATAGAAATCAAATTATAACAGCAAAGAATAATTGGATTTCTTTTTTAAATAAAATTATTTTTAAAAATAATTATTGCACATATTTCACTGTTTATATGTTTCGTTAACGGATATTTAATATATATAAAATAATTATAATTATGATTATTTTACTAAATATCTATTTAAGAGATGAATGAAAAATTCAATTAATTATAATTGTAAAATTATTTCCAAAAAATAACTTGAAAGCGAGAGAAAAAAATATTCATAAAAAAAAACAATAAATACAATTTTATAAATAAAAATTATTTTCTCTAATTTGTATTAAAATCACCTATGTATACAAACGTAAGAAATATAGTATGCATACAACACTCATTCGTGAAAACGCGATTAATTATGATCGCACTTTTCATTTGATCCTCCCGCAGTTAATTTCATCGGAAAAGTAACATAAGAGCGTGATCGCGTAAAATTGTGTTGTGCGCGACGTTCTCTCTGTTCTAAAATAAAATATATAGTGAAACAAAAATGAATTGCGTTTATGCATTACTAATTTATTATGCATTTATTATTGGTTTATAATTCAAGCGATTTTCAGTTTAGTTATTTTCAGTTTGATTATTTCTTTTAAGTCTGTTTCTCAAACATAGTTATTATATAACTATAAACTATTATAACGCAAACGTTGGAATCTCAAGAGTTTTTATCGATGATCATCAACGCGATTGTCAAGCAACGGGACTGACGCGACTATGTTAAGCAATTTAACACATTGCGACGTCGACTAACGTTTCTTTTTAAAGTCGGAAAGCTGGAAAATGTCAGCAGTTTCATCTCAATGCCGACAAACGCTATTGAATCAAGAAACAATTATATCTCCTAGATATTGGAACGATCTGAAACAGTAATTTAACTTCTCGTTTCCTGTCGCGTCGATTTTTCACTTTCAATGAACAAATTGTGTAAGATACCCGGTTCAATTAAACTGCCGTCATTTCGAGGGTACCTGCTTACTCATCGTCCGTTACAAGAGCTCATTATTTACGTAGTTTGGTAATTACGCTAATGTATGTCGGGCAGGAATGCACAACTAAACTTTTTTGGCCGGCCAAATGTAAAATTTCAGATTATACCGCAGGCTGTAGCAGCTAAATTAATGTAAATTTTATATACATTTATATTAATGTAAAATTTATAAATAAATAAATATACATATTTAGTTTCTACATAATAAAACGTAATATACATTTTAAGTTTTTTAATTTTTTTTCTGCGGGTCAAGTTTGGACGTCGCGAATCCGGCCCGCGGACCGCGTGTGCGAAGTTAGCACCCCAGCATTAAAATTTCATAGTTCTGATTGTTATTCCCGCTTTATCTTGAAGAAACAAATAGTTCCCTATCGTTTATATAACAAGTCGCTCAGAACTATTCGATCATGAATTTTGATAAGAAGTTAGCTCCCCATTTTTTAAATTATTAAAAATTGTTATTGATCAGAACTCTTCCCAAAAGTAGCAAGATGACGTCTTAATAACGTCAAGAGACGTCTTAATAATGTCTCTAACGTCGAGATAAGATGTTATTGAAACGTTATTTGCAGACGTCATCTTGTTATTTGGGTTGTTATAAACTGTAGGAAACTCTTCGTCTCTTCAAAATAAAGCGGGAACTTTTTTTTCTGCAGAAATATGGAATTTTAATGTTGGGATGCTAACTTCACACACGCCCACCATTCACGCATCCCTGATGTAGAAAACTTGTCGCGGCCGTATTTTTTCGTAGAGTACTTAACACACGAGCGACTCACGACTCTGCCAGTTCGCTCGCCCGACTCGTCACGCGAATAACAACAAAGCGGCCGAGTTACTACAGGCTTTGTATACTTATTACTTTGTATACACAATAAGCACAGTACGCAAAAACAAGCATCAAGCGGTGCGCCAATTCGCCGTTCCTATGAAATATTTAATGTGCGTTGAAAAATAAAGGGTACTTATATCGAATATTCTTGTATCTCAAATCAATATTGATGAATGAGTTTACCATTGCACATATATTGCGCGTTTTGTTTCGCAGACCCGTTAGTGTCGCTTGAGATAACAATTAATTTTTGAAAATTTTCATGGAAAGCAGAATTATATATCAAATTTGCATGTAACGGTTAAAATTTCGTGATAAAATTGTCAATATCAGTCGGTTGTTATAATAATAATTATGTTTGAGAAAGAGATACAATCGACTGAAAAATAATAATTACTAAACTAAAAATCAGTTGAATTATAAAACATAATAATAAATGTAATAAATCAGTAATACATAAACGCAATTATAGGTTTATTTTTATTTCACTATTTTATTTTAAAACAGAGGAAAATTGATAAAATTTTAGAGAAAAGGACAAACGCAATGAGCGTACATGGAAAGAACGATTTTGCTGGATACAGATCTGAAAACAATTTTTGTTGGGCAATCAAAATAATTTTATTGGAAAGTCAAACTGATTGCTAGAATATCAAAACGTTTTATAACAATGCTTATCATTTTTAACTTTCCAACAAAATTATTTTGATCCAACAGGAATTATTTTCAGATCCGTATCCAGCCAAATTTTTAGACCTTCTAATAAAATCGTTCTTTCCGTGTGTTGTAAGCGATTTTTCGTACCTACCAAATAATTTTTTTTTTATTTGCGACATCTACATAGATTATCTATAAAAAGAGGCAGACACGTATAGTTTAATAATATACAATACAGCGCCAGCTAATCGATCATTATAGAATTTTTAACGTGAAAATTTAATTTTTCACGGGTTACTGTCTGACCAGCTAGCAAATTTTTGAAAAGATCCGATACACGGTGAATACGTGTGAATATCGCTTCTTCGTTTCGTGGATAATTTTGCGTGACTCAGCTAAACAGTACGGGGTAAAAAGGGATCGTGAACATTCAAAGTACCGAGCGAATGAGTTTCATCGGACGTCACGGATTTCGCTGACGGAGCATGTGTCCAGCCGCCGCCACATGTTTGCGGGAGAAGCACACGGGTTCGATCGTTCGGATACCTCTCTCGCGCATAGGCGCGTTTACAGCGAGAGAAAAGCGGCCACAGCGACCGTAAATCTGTAATTTTAGCACGAACGACTGATGCGCAACGAATGTAGTATACGTACGTGTGAGAATTGCGGCGGACTATATTAGTATAAACCACTAGCAGATAGTAAATCAACAGCAAACTCGGTTTCTAATTGTTGATCTAACAGATAATTTATATCTATCCAACTAAAGCCGCGCGAGTCTCGACGCTTTGAAAATCCGATTTCTTCTTGTTAATTATATATATACATATATATATATATATATATATAATTAACACGAATTAATTATATATAATATTTAATTTATTTATTTAATTCGTGTTAATTTATTATTATCTTTGTATTGATTTACTTAAGGTGGTTTTATCGCGCCAAGTCAAATACCAGTTATTCCCTCCATGAGTAATAATTCAATAAAAACATTTCGCATAAACTGTATATGTACGCGATTATGTGACAACGTCACACTAGTGATTACTGTGTTTCGTGATAAGACCACCTTAAATGACACATTGCGTTCTTCGCCTCACGTAAATAAAATGTGCTCTTCGAATCACGTAATTGAATAAAAAAAAAATGATTATATGACGTTTTTGATATTTGAAAAATGAGTTCTATCAGCTGTGCTTCACAAAAGAATCATTAATATTCTAACGATATGTTATGTAAGAAACGAAGAAGTTGACTTGATATTGATCATATACAGTTAGCCGCTAAATAATATGAAATTTCAATCAGCTAACTGAAACTTATCGAACATGGATGTATTATTTTTTTTATAATTCAGGCGTAATAGATAAATAATTTCAAACGTAATTCAGGATATAGAAAAATTTAGTTATTTCTGTATGAAGATCTTGAATGACGAAGTTGCGTGAAGGGATACCGATACCGATCGCGTTTTTACAGATTGCGATATCTTTTGATTTTGCAGGTGACGAATTTCAGCGTCCAACATCTGGCTACTCGTCCTGAGGGACGCATAGATCAGAAGTAAGGATGGCCTTCCATTGGGATAAGCTCTCGCCAGCGGAATTCCAACAACTTCAGGACTTGGCAGCTTGTAAGTAGCAAAAGAAAGGAAATAGAAAGAAGGAAGTGCTGAAACGTGTAAAATAATACGGATAAATCACAACTGAGAGCTCGGCGTTCTCTCTCTCTCTCTCTCTCTCTCTAGTTTTGAATTTTTTTACAGTTCATAAATCCCAAAGTCCGCCTTGCTGATGAAGTTTTAACAAACTTTGACTTATCTAACGTCGGCAAAATTTAGCACGAGCAACTTTATGTACACCTGGCTTAATTTTCGCTCAATAGATGTTGTTATTAATTTGCGGATACACTTAACCGAGATTAGTCTCTTAACTATTTATCGACATGCAAGCTAGTTTCAAACTTTCGAATAAGAAAAATCATTTGATTATAAAGAACTGCAAAATAAAAGTTTTCAAATTTTTTCAATAAACTTCGCAATGCTCGCAAATTCGTAGCTGCCATTATATGCGGCTCATTCTTAAACAAAAGTAGAATACTTTTTAAGAAAAAAAAAACATGCCGTTTTATCCCATCAGGAACATGCAATCACAAAACATTTTAGCGAAATCATTTCAAACTTCTGAACAAGAAAGATCATTTAATATATAAAATAGAATCGCAATTTTACTTCTATTTGTTTCAATGCCAATGTCGATGCGTTATTTTACGCTTTTTTTCTCGACAGTTTCAAGATACAATCCTGGTGGATACGCTTGATTAAGCGACACCATTCACACAGTGTCGCGCCATCGAATGAATCGAATTGCGTGGGGCAATTTTGTTTGTTCCGGATTGGATCGAATTGCGCGATAATTTTATCGTGAATTTACTCATTGAATACAAATGAGGCTTCTCGCGATGCCTGTTGCGTTCTTTAAAAGTTTCGTCGCAATGGAAGTTAAGTTACTTCCGTCGCGCCGTCGAATAACTATCCGTCGCACGAACTTGGATTATGGTCACGGGAAATTAAGTTATTTGAACAATGAAAGACAATATAATGGCATTATCCGTTATCGTCAAAACGTAAACTAATACGTAAGAAAAAAAATGCATTGTAATAAAAAAAAACTCTAAAAAATATGCTGTGTAATAGCAGTTACATTTGCAACATATAGAGCATTGAAAAAATTTTAGAAACTTTATTTCAAATGATTCTTTATACAATTAAATGATCTTTCTTGTTCAAAAGTTTAAAATTATGTCGCTAATTGTAAGATGTTTTGTGATTGCATGTTTCTGCAAAAATAGAATTAAAATTAAAACATTTTTTTTCTTAAAATACGTAAACATAAACTTTCGGTCTTTAATTGTCGCACATTATATAGAGCCTTCGTACGCCATAGTGAATATTCTCAAATTATATGTGAGGCACTATCTTTAATTACAGATAGCACTTAACTCAATTAAATATAACTGAAATGAAGTGGTAATTGGCTCCGCTCAATTACGTAGAATGAAAGTCAACAATTGAAAGTTTGTTGAATGAAAGCCATTAAAAATACATCCAGATGGTTATAAAATGTAAATACTGTCGCGTTTAGAAGGGGAAATATCGAATAATCGGCAATTTATACGTCTTTGTTTGTTCTCTTTTTCCTGTTATAAAGCATCGCGTATACATTGCCTACAGAAATAAATAAAATAGCTTGTAAAATAATTTGCATTGACTTTTTTTATTAAGAATATGTTAATTAATAGCTCGCGAACTGTTTTCCCGGAAAAGCCTCGTATAGATATTTTCGCGGATATCGCTTTGGATAAAAACAATCATTTCCGAAACGAGATTTCGATAAATTCTCCAAATTGGAACGAATAATTAAAACAAACACGTGTATAAAGGCCTGTTATATAATCCCGCCGATATAATAGATGCGAGCGTTGAAATCCATATCATTTCGGCGCACGTACGAGTATTTCCGTGTGATTTGCCGGCCGGGCAGCGAACGCGCCTCGAATTTTCCGCATTATAAACCGCTGTCCCAATCGCGCGGCGGGCTCTTGACGACGTACAGGTGTTCCCGCCGTCTAGTATTTTACATCTGGCTGACGGGGCAGATGCGTAGGAGATGTGTAGCAACGCCCGGTCATGTCTTTCGAGAAGAACACGCGCGACCGTTCGTGTTAGGGAAGCACTAATTCATCGTACAAACGTTGCACTTTGTCGCGCGAGCGCGAATAAATTGCCGCCGTTCGTCAACAAATTTACCGGCATTACCGTAATGCGGCTATCATCCCGCGGCAATCTTTTATTCGAAATAGAGCAACGTTGTGCGAAAACGCCGAGGGAGACCTCGCGGAAGTAATATTATTACAATAATCTGTTAAAGGATAATCGAACGGTCATCGTTTATCGTACTTGAACTGTCATTAGTGGGATAAACATTTTCTTTTCAGTCTCCTCCAAATTAAGCAATAATGTAAAACTGTACAAATATAAATTAAATTCCTATAAGGTAAACTGAAGATTATTTAACAAAAAGTCAATATTAAATTTATTTTAAATTTATTGCTCGAGCGCGCTAATGTCTATATCTTTCAAGAAGCTCTTGCAAATGTAAAGCTCTGCCGAATAAATTTGTAATGGATACAGTTTTTGAGAGAAAATCGCATCTCTCTCTACGTCACAAAGTTGCTGTACGCGATCCATTTGTGCGCGGACATGCAATGTTCTATTGTTATAAAACAATCGTTCAATAATCGTCGGCAATTATGCGAGACGGGCGGACATATCGAGGCGGAAACATGAATTTCAGCTGGGCGCGTTAATCATCTGCCTGTCCGAATACGATCCATCGTGGCCGTCAATCGGCTCGAAAATAGTAGTCGTCCGAAAATATCCCAGTCCGTTAAGTGCATTATGGCGTCGATGCCGGTAGATTAGGCCAATGGCCTCCTATTATTAGTCAATTTATCGTCGTTGTTTCTTCTGTAAACAGTTGAATCCAAGATGGTTGATCAATCGCTCTTCCTCTTCACTGTCTAATCTATCAGAGACAAACTCGTTCGTGCCACGTTTCGTTGACATGCCGAATCGTATATACCAGAAAAAAATCCCTCGCAAAATATTTATATTATAATATATTAATTTATTTTTAACTCTTTGATCGTGTTTTTCCGTCCCTCTGTTAGAACGATCGATTTACAATAAGCTAAGTGAAAAGGCAGGAAGGTGTTTTGAATGTTTAAAAAGTTTTGTATGTATTGTGCGCTATATATGGCGCCAATTAAATCCTTTCGTTCAAATAAAATTACGTTTTTAATTTGCTTTCACATTTTATATCGCTTTTACATTATATAAAGCAACATTTTATCAAATTTTTATAAAAGATGTATTATTATTAGATCTTTTCATCCTTTTGATGTTTGACAATTATTGTTCATTTCTCGATTAAAATTTAACCAAATGCAAAATAAATTATCGAATTATCGTTAATTGTTTCTCAGATTCCACGCGGAAGCTCCAGGATGTTCTGGCCGAATTTTGTGGGAGCAACACGACACCGAGTGGCGTGCCGAAATATCATCCGGATGGAGTGAGTCATAATGATTGGCTCATATTTTAGTCGTAACCGATAGCATGCGCATCTAAAATCTAATGGGATGTTTTCCCTCTAAAAAAAAATGTATTGTTTCAAAACTAGGGCGAGATTAAACGGAAGGACGTATCTCTAACATGAAAATTGAATATACTTTGGTGCAATGTTATCTTAATTTTTCATCCGATACTGCCGTGATACTCTATTCGGTAAATGTTATTTTTTGCAAAGTATACGTTTGATTCCATAGAAATTTCCGCGAGTTTTCTGTGTAAATCGATAGACGTGAAGGATTCCGTGCTGAGCGTGAACGCGATTTCGCGTTGCCGTCTCTCGTCTCAGGTGCACTTCAGCCTTTCTATAAAATGAAATTGAACGATCGGTGTGCTCGAGAGTGCACTTGAGCGACAAATATCTACTTAACTTGGACGCAAGCTGTTTAAACAACTTTTCAGGAAACGTGATATTTACGTGATATTTTATGGGAGACCGCGACACCGCGAGATACACATCCACATCGGTCTACGTAAATAATTAGTACTTTTAGCCATCGTGTCGAGAAAACGGCGGGTTTATGATTTCATAAAAAAAAAGAAGTCGACCTCGTGCCGCAGCTGTCCGATGAGAATCTTTCTTATCGTCGCGTTAAAGAAAGGGACTATATCTTTCCGAAGGAAACTTCCTACCTTTATCTGTTTTATATCGACTGAAATACTGTCAGATTATATGTAAGCGTACAGTTTATATTTTGAGTGAGAGGTATACAGGGACGCGACATAACGCGTGTATGGTATAATATCGCCCGTAGAAAGCGAGAAAGAGCATTTGTTCCATAAAATCGTAAACTATTCCCCGCTAGAATAACATTCAGAACACGTACGATGCTCACGGACAGGAAGTTATTGCGTGCTCGCGTTATACAAGAAGGACGGACGTGTAAGGGAGTTCCGTTCGACGACGCATTAATGATCGACTCGAATTCCTGATGGTAGTCGCATGCGGAGGTTATATCTTGCACGAAAAGAGGTTTCCTGCCGCAGGTTTCTGACGCACATGGGTACACACGAGCCGTTAGTTTAAGGTATATTTTATCAAAAATTATATTTAAAAAAGCCAGAAGCAATCTCTCTCTCTCTCTCTCTCTCTCTCTCTCTCGATATGTACATTCTAGACTTCTCCATCACAAATGTGCATTTTTTTTCAACAACAAAAAAGCATAGCGCGACGATTTCTCGCATATCCGCAAGGTATAAAGCTAATGTGACCACGCGCGAAATTCGTCTCGCGGATTTCATGCGGCCGGAACCGAAGTCGTCAACTCCAACTTCGGCGCGCCCGCACTGCCATTTCCTGACAGTCGTTTTAATTTTACGCGACGTATTGCCGGAACAATGTGTAACGTACATCAGCGCTATACACACGTCCGTAAACGTAAACACGCGGGAGCGCGTTTAGCTCTCCCGAGGAATATTAACTCCGAAACTAAAACAGATTGCTGAAGTTGCGCGACGACGCTCTTTTTTTTCCCCTTCCCTTTTGGCACGAAGCACCTCACCCGGCCGACACACCGTGTTTACCGTTCGTCACAGTTTGTCGTAACGCGCGTTGCATCGCGATGATGTATCGATCACGGGGCTTCCTTTACGCGTATCACTCCTGCGGACTAATGGAGCAGCTTTTTGCAAAAAAATTTTGCACCCGAGTCCCAACGCGGAAAGGTCACGGGTCTAGTCATAAATATTCAAATTGCTAAAATGTCAACGAAATGCGCGAGCTTTTTGAGAGTCACGATAATTTTATGTTCAATATGTCCGTACCTCCTGCATTTTTTTAAATTTTACGTTACCCGTTGGAAACCAGAAGACCGGAGATGCGATCTCTTGTTAATATTTCCTTCGCCGATAACGTGGCAGTTATTACGTTGCAACGAGCAACGCGCCGGCACTGCACCCGCGCAGAAACGCGATTTGAGCGCGTTTATTTCCGTTCTAAATTCCTGAACCCTTATAAAACTGTTCCGGACTGGTTACAATAAGAAGCCCGACTCGCGGGATTCGGGCGGGCGCGGCAGTAATTTCGCGGCACGTTCCAAGTCGAGGGGCGCCCTTTGAGGAGGTCGGATGTAAATTACTTTCCTCTACGTCGCCCGGCGTCTTTCCGCAAAATTCCGACCGCGCGACACATTTTCAGACGGGCGGGCAAATTTACTGCCATCGACGCGGACGGGGGCGGGCATAATCCACCGCGCGTTCACCGCGGTGATATTCTCATATGAGCGACCGGCCGGAATTTTCACGCCGACGCCGCTAGTCCTCGCGCGTAATTATTTTAGAATGACACCGAGAAGCTCGGGGAGGTTTCTCTCTGCAGGGATCGTAAAAAAAAAAATCGTGACGTCAAAGCAGGTGGATTTTATATGCTGGATACTTCGTTCTAAAGTTTCTCGCGTTTCTCAAAACGAAGAAGAAGATGACTTGTATAACTCTCGTACGTACACACCGTAATAATGCCTCGAAAGCTTTCTGTCGTTCTGCAGCGCGCGGTACGTGCCGTAGAGGATTCGCAAGACACCAGCGGAACTTGTTCGTTGAAGAGCACAGAAATTGCATTATTCTCGCTAAGAGTGTCACAACGCTTACTCATCTTATATATTGCATACACAGTAACAGTTAAAATCCATTAACGTTCAGCTATTATTGCCACGGGAAAGATTCCCGTAAACTTTATTCAGCCGGCGACGCTATTCGCCCCAGGATCGAACGTCATTCGATTTATCATAAATACATGGCGGCTGATAGGAAAATATTGTCGACTTCGACGCGCGATTACGTGAGGCGATTTTAATAAATTGGTAAATATGTAATTTCATAAACTCGGGATTAAATTTTCTGTAATAATTTAAATCTCACCTTTTGCATCTTTATAGAATATATACATATGTTAATTTACTTTCTATAACTGTGTGTATTTTGTATTTTTAAATACTTTAACTTTTTACTTTACATATAAAAGAGAAGAAAGTGTAAAATACATAAAAGTAATTAAGTTAAAATTTAAGCTTAATCCTATATGCCTGAACCTAACCGTGGACCGAATTAGTGAATTACACTTTGGGAATTTAACCGACTATTTTCATTGCCGCGATATCAGATGAGATACTCGAGTTCAGTGACAAAGTCTCTCTGAAATCGGACCGACCGATATTGCGTCAACATTTACAACCGGGGAGCCCTTTGTGCAGGAGAACGCAAACTTGGTAACCCCCGCGGGATGCGACAATCGACATCGAATGCTAAGAGGCTACGCTGGTTACGAGATCAAGAGGTCCGGAAATTCCCCCGCGGACGCGGTCTTTTGCCGTGAAGCGTAACCGGTGTCGAGAACTCATAATTGGAAATTCCACCAAGGGACAAGCGTGCGTCAACGGCCGATAAGAGGTCACATTCAACCGCAAGTCCGTCACACGAAACGCTGCGGCACTCGGCTCCCTCGATTATTAGTTTGCCGAATCTGCGTTCTGCTCGAAATCTCTCTCGTCTAAATGAATTTAATTGTTTCAAAATTGCAAGTTTTGTTTCACAGTTACCTTAATTAATCACCACATTATATATATATACGTATATGTATATAAATTCATGCATTTAGATACAAATTTTTTTCTTATCATATTTAGACAAAAGTTTTGCAACTATTTAATTAAAATTCGTTTAATTTTATTTCCAAAAAGTAGTACTTAAAAAAAGAAATACCGCGCATCAAATCCAAAAATTTAATACTGTGAATATTTTAGTAACATCGTACCATACACCGTTCACGTTTTATTCAAATATTGTGTCGCATCTTTTATATTTTATTCAAACGTTTTATCATATCTTTTACATTTTATTCATATATATAAAAGTTTTATTCGTTAATTGTTCCGAAGCATCATTGCAAATGATACGAATAACGCGGTCACCAAACAATAACGTTGAGGTCCGATAATTGCGAGTTTAATTGAATAAATGCGTATATATATTGGCAACAGAAATATTCCTACCCGATAGCGATGATAGTCAACAAAATGTCGTATGTACAAAAGCGGAGACAAATAGCGCGGCATTAAATCAATAAAATTGCGATGGATGAATAGAGTGTTGCTTGCGTTCGCTCGTTAGTGCAGGAAACACTGTTCGAGATCTCATAACTGTGTATAGCCAAGAGGGAGTTCGGGTTTTGCGGCAATGGTCTAAACGATCACATTCAAGCCCTAATTCCCTACATTAACTGTAGAGTTTCGGACACACGCCAATTTATATCATCAACATTGCGCAACTTGTTGGCTCTCGGAGGTAAAAGATTTAAATAAATACTGGCAAGACTTATTCATCAAAAGCTAAAAGGGTTATTCAATTCTATAAGCAGCCCGCAGTTATTTTCTGCTGTTTATATTTTGAAGAAATATAAAATATCAATTTATATAATTTAAATGATTAAATGTCGCGACAATCTTCATAAAAGGACGTGGTCGCCAAAGGAACATTTCAGGTCTAATAAAAATTTCGATAGATTCAAAGATCGAATCAAATCGGATGAGATAAAGACTGTGACGTCAGAAAGAAAGAAATCCGAAAAGTACTTGCCGTTCTATTCGCTATCGACGAAAGTAGAATTCTTGAAACGAAAGAAAATAATCGAACAACTAACAAGTCAGATGACGATAAGAAAGAGAAAGAGAGGGAGAGAGAAAGAAAAGGAGAGCTGGTTATGTTCATCTAAAACAAGAACCTTCGAAGAACATGTAACTGGCTCTATAAGCAGAGAATTATACCACTTGTACGTCGATCGCTCATTTTATTTCACCAATCTTACACAGGATTTAGATACCAGTGTAATAGTCTACAAAGAGTAGCGCATCTTTCGGAAGTATCTTCCAAAGCGGATACATATAAATATGAATTTATATATTTATTATAAATTGTTTGAAAAATATAGTTGTTTTATAAATATGAAAAAAG